AAAAATCAATATTTTGTCACGTCACTCGAAAATCTATGGAGACTAGTAAAAGAAACTACAATAAATTTAAAAGAAAAAGAAGATCAAGAAAAAAAAATTGTTTTTAACAATTAAAAATAATCAATATTACTTTAAAAATATTTTAAAATTTTCAAAAGCTAGTTAATTTGTCAAGCTTGGACAACTAAGAAGAGCCGTAAGTTTTAATAAAACAATAATAAAAAACTTTAATAAATCAATAAGTAGATACTCTATAAGTCTAACAAAATATACGTGTTAAGTTTATGAGTTCTAAAATAAAAATTATTTGCTAAGTTTCGAATATTTTTTTGGCATAATTTAATTAAATAAAGATGGAAAATCATTAAAAATATAATCATACATATTGAACGAATTAAAAATAACAAATTTCAAGAAAAGATTAGTTTATTATGTTTTAAAAGAGAAACAATTGAATATTCACAAGAAATTATTCAAATATTAGTTTTGTTCAAGGAAATTTTAATTTAGGAAATAAAGATCTAATAGACGAATTGGAAATATATATATATATATATATATTATATATATATATATATATATATATATATATATATATATATATATATATATAAATAAAAGTAGGATCGAATAGGAACCTAAAAAACCAGTAGGAACCACGAGGACACTTTTTACCATTAATTTTGAAATATGTGTAGCTGCGATAAATCAGATTTTTCCTTTTCATTTAAAATTCGCGGTGGCAATTTTGAAATTTCTGAGAATGTTTTTTGCTTTTCTTCTTAAGGGCAAAGTACTTGAGGACAAACTTGTCAATAATGCATTACAAAACCCAAGTTCATGTTCTTCAGCAAAAATTTCTTGATTGACATCTTCCTTCTTTTCTCCTCAGCCTCTCTCAAATGTATTACTGAATCTTATATTGTAGTCTAAATTTCGTTTCAAATCTCGTAAACTCATATGAAATCGATGTGTATTATGGAAATCGATGTGTATTATGGAAATTAGTCTAGATCTTCGTATTTTATCTTTTTTTCTTTCAATTTCTTCGAATACTGAGACTTGCTGAACATTTGGGTTATACATTTGAAGTCAATGTAACCAGGTAAACTTGATTTGAGTACCTTTTCTCTGATTAATTATGTTTTTAAAATGTTACTTCGTTTTTTTGTTTGAAACCCTAGTTTTAGAAGTGTTTTTGGGGTTTTTGTTACTTTCCATTTCATCTTTGATCTTCTTTTACTTGAACTTACTTGATTTGTTCAAAAATTAATCTGAGCTTAGTATTTAAGCTTATGTTCTTTTAATATCATCAAACTTTGAGAACGATTACACATTTGTGGTATGGTTTCTAAGTTAATGGAATCAAGTAAACTCGATTTGAACACTTTTTCCATGATTATTTGTGTTTTATTTATAGCGTTCTTTTTGTTTGAAACCCAAGTTTCTGAAATAATTTTTGGCTTTTGTGTTGGTATTTTTTGTTTCATCTTTTGTTCTTCTCAGAGTTTAAATGCATTATTGATGGTAAATCTTGGTTGAAAGTTAACTGAAGTTTTTATTATCAGTTCATAAATATGATAAAATCCCTGAAGTTTTACAGCTTGGTAACATAAATTGACAGGGCTTTAGGATGATGCGGTTAATTAGATTTACATGAACGTGAAAGATTGTATCAAAGATATTTTTCAAAGTCTCCTCAATAGTGAAAATGAGAATGTTCTTCAGGTTATGATCATTATACTTTTTCTGTGTTGATTTTCATATTGTTTTACATGTCACCTTTTTATTGAAAATAATATTTATGCATCTATATTACATGATTCCTCTTTTATATAATTTAGATTTGGAGTTTAGTTTGCAATTATGGACACTAATTGGTATGGAAAAAAAGAAGGAATCACAACTTTGAATGATTTGTACACAACTTTATGGAGCAGTATGTTTTAAGTTAAAGTGATTTCTTTGGCAACATCTTTGATGTTTTAGTTTTTATCCTTTAATTTGTAAATATTAGGGTTGTTATGAACTCAAGTAAGGTACATTGTTAGTTTTTTACTAATATGTGAATTTGGATATGAAAGATAGTAGTTTGTATGTTTATGATTCATGTTATAAAGTTTTATGTTCCATTTTATAGAAATTTTCCATCTTATTGAAAGTTTATGGATTATGATGAGTAATTTGGATCATGTTTTTGTCTATCTTATGGAAATTTCCCAACTTATAGAAAATCTCCATCCTATAGAAAGTTCTATAATCCATCATCTTATGTTATTTTATAAAAATAGTTTTATGGGTTATATAATTTTGGATCATATCATGATCCAAAAGTTACTTTATGATTCATGTCTCATTTTTTAATCATAGAAGTTATATCATATGTAATAACTTTGGATCTTAAACGGTAGTTATTAATAGTTATCGCTGGAATTTTGATGATCGGTCTTATATAAATTGGCCATCGTAATAAAAATGCTTTCGATCATAGAAACTATTGATCATAGTTTAATAGACTTCTTGCAACATAAAAGTTTGTCTCTTAATTAAAATTCAATTATTAATACTTACAAGAGAAACCTTTATGATGCATATTATATGAATTGTCCAGCATAAATAATCAGAAAACGTTTGGAACATATTAAGTTATGGATCGTAGTCGTGATCCAAAAGTTTTTGATCATTGACTTCTTACAGCATAAAAAGTTTACCTCTTAACTAAATTTCAATTATTAATAGTTATGATGAAAACCTTTATGATGCATATTATATGAATTGTTCATCTTAAATAATCATAAAACGTTTGGATCATATTAAGTTATGGATCGTAGTTATGATCCAAAACCTTTTTATTCCTCTTATATTTTGGATATATAAACACTACATATTTTTTGGATCATAAACCATTTGAATCATTAACATTTGTAAAAGATTTTCTCCAAAAAAAGTTATGATTCAAAAAGTTTATGATCTTTATTTTGTGTCCAAAAACATTATGGATAAGAAATGTTATGAATCTTAATCTCTTATGATTCCAAAATTCATTTAGTTGAAAATATTATCATCCTAAGATGATCTAAAATGAAATGAACAAAATGAAATGATCCAAAATATTATAATTCAAATGTTATGATTCAAAAATGACGATTAAAAAACGTTATAATAAAAAATATAACTTTACAAAAATGTAGTAAAAATTATAAAACGATGAAAAAATCATATAAAAAACGAAGATTTTAACATAAGATAATGTATTTTTATGTTGTATTCTATGATGTTACGAACAAAATCATATATATATATATATTATATATATATATATATATATATATATATATATATGTGTGTGTGTGTGTGTGTGTGGGGCTAGGTTATAGTGTGGATGGTAAGTATTGTGTGAATGTAGGAAAGAATGTGGTCCAAGAGTTTAAAATACATATTCAAATAGAATAATACATATTCTGATTGAATGAACATTTTTTATAATTAGCATGCTTAAATAATACTACAACATATATTATCAATAATAACATTTTCTAAAGAATACACATTTTATGAAACTGATTATATTCTTTAAGAATCACTAGTTGCATTAATTCTTAAAGAATAACGCTATAAACAATAACTACATACATTCTTGAAAAAAAAATATGACTAATAATGGTTAAGAATTACATTTATTCTTAAAGATTAAAACTAAGAACGGTTAAAAAAAATCAAAATCTAACAAAAACACTACTTCAACTACTAGAAAAACAGCCTTTTACGACATGCAATCCATGACATGCACTGTTTTACGATACACAATAGTGTGTGTCCTAAAAATAATGTCATCTCTCCCAAAATTTGAAGGATTCAGGACACGCATTTTTGCATGCCCTAAATTTAGTGTCAAAAAAATAAAAATAAAAAACATGGAGGACACCTATCATAAAATCCAGTCGTCTAAGAATGTCGTTTTATAATTTTTTCATTAAACGCGCGTTCTTCATTTTTAACAGCTAAGGGGAAATGAATTCCCAAAAAATTAAAAACCCCGCCTCATGTTCTCCTCTCCATTGTTTCCACCGGCTGTCTTTCCATATTTTGACCTAATTATTCAAGCTCTGTGATTTCCAAGTCCGCTTTGAAATCTATTGTTACTATTTGAAATCAGATCCAATCCTACCATCGCCCAAGCCTTCTTGTCTCTCTCGGTCGCTACCTAGGGTTTTTATTGAAAGCTTGAATCGATCGACTGAGGTAACCAAAGGTCAAACGAACGGGGAAAGGGTTTTTTCAGTGAAATCTACTGTTACTCTTTGAAATCGGATCCAATCCTACCTTCGACCAATCCTTCTTGTCTCTATCGGTCGCGACCTAGGGTTTTTTCGTGAAATTTTGAATCGATCGCCTAGGGTAACCAAAGGGTAAGTGAACCAGGAAAGGGAAGCAATAAATCCAATACTCACTCTCAAATCGATTCTACTGGACAAGGTTTTAATTTGGGATCTCTACATTCTCATCGATTCTACTTTCATTCAAGCTTACATCAGTTTTTTATGAACCATTCGATCCCTAGATGGCACCGACTTATGTTTCCTGGTGATACAAGGTTTCTTCTTCCTCGCACTCGACATACTCTGGTAACAAAAGTCTACAATGGAAATCAATTGTAATCAATTGTGGCCAAGGTTTCTACTCTACCGACACCTGCTAGAAAGGGTTTTCTTTTTCTTTCTTACACCACTCACACACCGCAGACAAATCTTGATTAACGGGCAACACATAGTTGTTTAGGTTTGTCAACAAATTCTTTTACCTTTTATTTGTTGTTTTCTTCTCATAAATGCTTTGATATGTACGATTCATATTTTTTTTTAATGAAATCAGGTACATATGGATTTTGATTTCACTAGAGATATTTGAAGAACAAAGAATTTGGTTCATATGGGAACCCAATTGTCAACCAACCATTTTGGTATGTGGTTATCATAATGTTTGGGTAAAGGAATTAGAATATGGACAATCAAAGCTGGCCAACATACTGCACACTAACGAACTATCAAGGCAATTTAGCGTAATTTTAGTTTCACTTTAATATTGGACAAAATTTCTATGTAAAAGTTTTTTTAGTGAAATCGATTATTTTTATCTAATCAATCCTAACATAAGGTAAAATACATGAATGCAGGTGTATATATATATATATATATATATATATATATATATATATATATATATATATCATGTATTTCAAAAGAAACAACCCATTTACTTATCTTTCAAAGATTTTGATGAGTTTTTTTGTTTTGGACTTGGTGATGCAGATGTAAGTTGTATAATGTGACAGAAGATGAATATGGTCGACCTTTGAAACCAAATTATGTGGTAGGTTTATTATGTTGCTATGATGGAACACAATGCAAAGTGAAAAATGGAGTTGAAAGTGTGAAAAGAAACCTTTACCTAAAGTACACCGTTGAGTGGTTTGATTGGAGTGACTCCATAATACCTGTTAATATCTATTTGATGTCACAGATACTTGGGAGAACACTGGAATCCATGGTTGCTTGGTAAGTGGTAACTAAAATGAAACCAAAATTTTACACCTTTTTACTAAAATTTTGAATCTTACACTCTTACAGATTGAGTTTAATGTTGAAAAAAGTGAAAATGGAAGTGCAACTAATGACTTCACCAACATAAAAAAATCAAAAGCAAGTTTCCTAATTTCTGGTGATGTTGTCTATGGTGTTGCACATCTGCATAGTGGTGGAATAGGTTATGCTTTATATGGAGGGGTGAATATTTTAACTTTTTTGGAGTTGGGTGTTGTTTATTTTTTTAATCTTGATTTGTGTATAAAGATCAAAATTTATGAACTTTATTCAGGATGGACGTGTAATTTTCTCATCTAGAGCTATATATGGAGAAGGAAATGAAGCAGGAAATGAAGTTGGATATATTGTAGGAATGACCACATGTTACCCTAATCCAGGTTCTATAAAGATAACCAAAGATGAAGTTTTAAATTTGGAGTCTAATTACAACAGTGAAAAGAGCCATACGGGAGTTATTGGGCTCTTCTATATTATTGTTGCAGATTCTTCTTCTACTTTGGATGCTTCAGTTCAAGTAAGATTTTCTAAATCCCAAAACAGCCCTTTAAGTATGTTGCTATACATGGTAAATAATATAATAAGTAGGTTACTATCTTGCAGATTCATCAAGATTACGTGGTACCAATACCAATCTTCTTTTGGCGTGTAGCTGTGTTTGGATTGGCAATTTTTGCAGCTCTTGTTGTTTCTTATAGGAGACAAAGGCAAAGTGAGGATGACTACCATTCTATTGCAACTTCCACATAAACTGTGCTGGTTGGTATTTGGTAAAACTATATGTTTTACTTAAATGAATATGTGAAAAAAAATATAAGGATATGTTGCATAAGAAATAAAGTTAAGAGTTTTTAAAAATTTTCACTGTAATCATGTATGGTAGGAGAAAGAATGCTTTTGTAATATATGTGGGTGGCATGACAAGTATCATATAGAAAAAGTGACAAGGTATGATTTAATAAAAATATTAAAATATAGTTTAGTATAGTTTGTGGAATATTATAGCTCACCAATCACCACATGTTTGTTTTGTGGACCAATTGTGTACTTTAAAACCATGGTCATTTTGGTGATTTTTATACATAAACCGGTTTTAGTTCACTGCAGCAATCTCACATTTTAACCCAACCCTAATGTTTATGGTTGATTGTAAGTTCAGGTTGTTATGCTGAGCTTGAAATACGAGGAAGGTGCAGTGCAGGTAAAAGGGTATGCCATCATCTCTAATTTCCCATTCCCATTGTATTTTTGATTGAAGGAATTTCACAAATCCATTTTCAATTGATCTCAGGTGCTTGCTTCACTTATCATTAGATTGGCATTAGCAGAAACCTTCTGCCTTAACTGTGGAATACTTGTAACGCCCTGTTTCGAATAAAGTCCTAATTCGAGGCTGTGGCCCGAAGAGCGATCATCATAAGGATTAGGACCTTTATAAAGATAAGATTTAGGCCCATTTGGATGTGGGTAATGTAGGTATGTGACCCAATAGCTCGGTTTGCACTTTGGGGTCAAGGGTAAAACGAGAATGTTGTATTTGAGACCTCTTTTATGAATTTTGGATTTTAGTTCGGTTGGGTTTTAGGTTACATAAAGCTTATTGAAGTGTGGGGCTTCTCGTTACCTTTCCGTGGATATAAAGATCGTCGGAATCGGATTTATAAAGAAGAAGTTATGGCCTTCGGAAGTTTCGTGGTTTTCAGGCTTAGCCGAGTACACGGGGCGTACTACTGAAGAAGGCAGTACGTTGCGCGTACTGACCAGGATGGTCGCGAATGTTCTTTGGAGTACGCTGGGCGTACACCAATCAGATCAGAACCCTATTTTAGGGTCTTGGACCCTATTTAAACACCTTATTTCATAACCTAACCCTAATATCTTCAACCTCCACCCCTCTAAACGCTATAAATTGTCCTTAATCATCTATGGTGACATTTTGGAGCTCATGGAGTCCATTTTTGGAGTATTTGGTCCATTTCCAAGAAGGTGGAGTTGATGCTAAGATGGGGGGATCAAGGAGAAGCTTATGGATCTGGCTTTTGTGACTCATTTTCAGCTTAATGAAGGTATAAAGCTTGGAACTTTATCATTCATCTCTTATATCTACCACTTATGGGTTTTGGTCCCTTTTTGGTCCCAAAGATGAAGCTTTTTGGTTCAAATCTGATTCTTAGGCTTAGGATTGCACCCTTGGTGCTATTTGAGTCCCTAAGGCAGAAAGTTGCCATCTTGGAGGTCTTAATGGGTTCATGCAAGAGTTATGGCCTTTTTCATGGAAGTAGATAGCTATACTTTGAGTATTGGGTTCATGTGGGTCATATAAGTCACCAAGTCAGTGACTTTATGGATTAAGACGTTAAGTAGAAATCAGATCTGTAATTTGGTCCCTTGGTTTGAAGCATTAAGTTCTTTATAGCAAAAAGGACTTAACAGAGGAGTACGCTGGGCGTACAAGCTGGTACGTGCAGCATACAAGTCACGAACCTAGTACGCGCTGCGTACAACTGAGTACGCCCTGCGTACTCAGTCAAAATGGGTTTCGCTTATTGGGCTTCGGTGTAGGCCAACTGTTGGGCTTGTTTATCTTGGGCCCATTGGGTCATCAGGTTGTGGGTTGTTAATGATGTGGGAAAAGGCCCCGTAAGGATTTGTTCCCAATTTAGAAACTTGGGCCATGGTTTAGGCCACAAGTGTTTTTTTAGCATTTTGGGCTTAAGTGTTTGGATTATTATTGGACCATCGAGATGCTAGGTGGGTTTGACTAAAAAGAAGGATTTTGGCCTGATGGAAAGACCCATGTAGAGGTTTGGGCCCAATTTGGAAAATTAGGCCATTGATGGATTTATGGACATTATAGTGTTGGGCTTTTGTTTGAGTTGGGCCTTAGTTTTGGGATCATTCTGGGTCAGGGGTGGAATGATAATTTCACCCCATGCATTGATTAAGGATTATAGTATGGGAACCAATTTCCAATTGGGTATATTGATCGGTATTGATAGCTCAGGAAGTGGTCAGGGCAGCAGCTAAGGATTTCTTTCAGGAAGCTTCTGCATTCGAGGTGAGTTATCCTCACTATACTCAAGGATCTAAGGCACCAAGGCCGGCCCTTTGTTTTGTTATTGGGATTATTACTGTTGTGATATGTTAGTTCGGTATCCTGGTATATAGGATGGTTATATGCTAGTATGATCTGTTAGATCAGTATCATGGTAGATCGGATGTGGTTATGCTTAGTGACCTATAGTTGTTCTGACTGTTTGCATGCTAGTTGTTATGTCAGTTAGGTAGATCTGTAGGATTACTTGTAGTATTATGTGATTATTTGTATGTGAATTATTTGGATTATATGTCGACATATTATGTGGGATGGGTTGAGATGAAACTGCTCCATGCGGTAACCAACAAACCCAGGAGCATTCCAGATACGAGCTGAGGGAGACTTGTATCGTGGGCTCGATGGCAATCCAGATGCGAGCTGTGGGCCCAGAAGGCAATCCAGACTCACACTGTGGGCCTAGGGGTAATCCAGTCTGTAAAGCTGTAGACCCAGTACATGCTGTTATTTGTATATGTGTTACGTGAAGTGTATCAGTATGTTGGCATTCCAACCCAATGGTTGAGGGCCTGGGGTATTCCATCACGATGGATGATCGGACCCATAGTATGCTGCTTATGATTATATGTGTATTGTTGTCGGTATGGGTATTTTGGGGTAACTCACTAAGCTTTCGGGCTTACAGTTTCAGTTTATTGTTTCAGGTTCAGCGAATGGCCGCGGGAAGGCGAAGGCATGACCATACACTTCCTTGATTGATGATTAGGATTTCTGGGAACTCTGATGTTTAAATTATTTTGAAAACAAATTGTAATGACTGAATGGTTTTAAATGGTTTAAAAAGTTTTAAATTGGCTCAAATTTTATGGATGTTACAATACTTGCACTTGATGAACAACCCACCAATTTAGATGTTCCAAATGTCAAAAGTTTTGATGCTGCTCTCGTAAGGTACATTTTTTACTGTTGTAATTAGGGATGTTTCAAATGCTAAACGGGAGACCTTTGGTGCCATTTTTTATTTATCATTGTGATAATTTTGAGAAGTTGGATTTGTCGCTATCTAACTTCTTATAGTTACTGATTGGTTTCCTGTTATGTTTAACTCTTAACAGGTATCATTGCAACCTTCAATAGTAGTTTTGGATCGACACCTTCTAGCAGAAGATATCGTGTACGTGTTCTTGTGATGCTATTGTGGATTCGGGAACATCCTTGCTTACTGGTCCAACTGTATGTATCTCACGTGAAGCTTCTATTAGAACTATTAATCTCAAGGATTTCAAGTTTTTCATATTTCTTGTATCTAATTAGTTTAAAATTTTATGTTACAACTTATATTGATTTGTTTTATCTTTCCGTGCAACGATTATTTGTATGACATTAAATTTTATGCAATGGATTGTATTTTTTGTATATGATATTTTATTTTCTATTATGAGATATTAAATGCAAATTTAATTTGAAAATTAGTAAATCTATAAATAATATTTTTTTAAACATTTAAAATTACGATACGCAAAAATGTGTGTCATCTTCATTTATGACATGGCCTTTCTTGACAGGGGCTTTAATGATACACAATACGAGTCGTAAATGCACGTCGTAAGGTTACGACACGCAAATGCATGTCATCTTCCTTTATGACAGGGCCTTCCTTGATACGCAAATGCATGTCATATATTTAATTAGTCTCCTTTTGATCACTTAATTAATTCCAAATTAATTCTTGATCAATACTAATTAAATAACATTATTAATATATTAGAACTTATAATATATTAATAAACCTTAAGTGTTATTTCTCTCATTTTGGTCTATCCAAATGCATGATGCCATGCAACCCAAATGGACCATGCTAATCGGGTCAAGTACATTCCAGAAATAGTTATGAACTTAGACACCTAATCCAACAATCTCCCACTTGGATAAGTCTAATAACTATATCTGCAAAAATAACTTCAGGAACCGATCAGCAATCGTAGCTCTTTCAAGGTCTCGCGGAACTGAGACGATGATGATACTCCATTTAAGATAAGTGATCATATAATCCTCTGTTCTAGATATCAGCCGGACAAATACATGGAACAATGTCTTACTTATTATCCAGCAGTTTGTTTCCCGATTTCCGATTTGTTTGACATAGAACTTAATTGAACAAATCAATCTTAGTTCTGACCGGGCCCGGTACATGGGTCAACACAAAATCATCGAGGGGCCCAGATATCGTTTCTAATCCAAGAAGGAACAGATAAACTTCGACTCATATGCTTGTTCTACTACTTGTTGAATCATACACAAAGGCACGTTTTATAACATCGAGTTACCAATGCGTTTACGTACAATCAATGTATAACCAACTCATAGGCAACAAGTCATATCTCTAGGTTTGAAGACTTATATGATATTACCGTCTCACGATCACTCGAGATAAATTCCATGAAGTGATACCAGTGAGCGTGGGTTAAATCCAATACTCAGAACTTATGAGCACTCATGAATGTTGCAGCAACTCTTGCTATGTCCCATACATTGGACATATACAATCCAGCTTCATGACAGTCTTGATTCATATCTACTTCCAACATATGACCGACTGTGGATGGTTTGAATAACTTAGTCATTCAGGAAGAGCGACTTAGTTATTCTGGAAGTCAAAACATGCAAAGTGAAACACAAGAATAATCGAATCAAA